AACTTGAGCCATTACAATAATTTTTAAATATAAAAGTAAAAGAAGGTATAAATTTTCTTACACAAAACAAGCCCAGTTTATTTCATAACCTGAAGTTCCCAGGGGAAAAAAGTCATGCCTGCGTTAAGATCATTACAAGGTTAGTTGACTTCTGTGACTTCAGAGTGCTGGAATGTTGCAGTTCCCAAATTAACATGGTCTTTAGATCCTTAATAGCCATTTATTGCCCACCTCTGTTCTGTATTTGCCCTAACATCCTTGTGATTATCAAGTAAAATCCTTTTTGAAAGGTACAAACAGGCCCCCAGATTCACCAACTCAAAAGCTAAGAATGCCATCAAATAACATCTGAGGCCTGTAAGCAGAGACTTTCCTATTTTGCTATAATCTGCCTAACCCAATGCTTCCACTAATGTGTTTTTGTTGTTGTTGTTGTTTTAAATATTGGGTCTGGAATGATGGCTCAGTGGTTAAAAGTACTCTGCTCTTGCAGAGTGGCTCTTGGTGTGGCAGCTCACAACCATCTGTAACTCCAGTTCAGAGGAACCAATGCCCTCTTCTGACCTCCATGGGCATTGCACAACATGGGTGCACTTACACACAGGCAAGCAATACACACATACACATAAAATAAAATAGTATTTAAAAAAAAAAAACCCTTGATTTATGGCTTTCTTTGTTCTGTTATAAAAACTTGATGAAACTGTTACCATGTTGGAACATGACATTTGGGGTGATCTAAATTTGTGTTCTTGGGTCACAGTTACTCATATTTGGCTCCAGAATAAACTCTCCTATTCCCTTTGAGGTGAAACACGTTTGATGTCAACAACCTTCTCCTGCTAGGATAGACTTCTAAAGCAGCACTTCAGAAACCCTAAGTGTCTGACGGTCATCTGGGGAATCTTCAAATATGCAGAGTTTGATTTAGAAAATCTCAGTAAAAGCAAGAGAATACAATTCTAACAAGCACATGGTAATGAAAAAAATATGTCTCAAACACACTTTGAAAAGATATAATTTACAATACTTAAGATCCACCCTGCCCCAGGGTTTGTAAAGCACTGATCTTGATAATGTTTCCAATTAAATTCCTAACTGGTCAACCTAATACTTTTCCGTCTTTGTCTTAGTTGATTTGTCATATATAATTTTTAAAGATTTATGTATGTATGCCTGTGAGTGCACATGTGTGCAGGTATACATGCCTGCATACGTAAAGAGGTTAGAAGAGAGTGTCAGATCCCTCAGAGCTGGAGTTGCAGGCATTTGCAGGACATCTGGCTTGTTACTTGGGTACTAAGACCCAAACTCTAGTCCTCAGGATTTGATTGCACACCTATCATTTTTAACCACTGATCCATCTCACCAGCTCTGGTATATAATATTTTTATAGTTCTATTACTGTAAAAATCTAGGAAACATATTCTAGTCTTCAATCTACTATCTTTTTGGTCTCTTCCCAAAGTCTTACACTTACATGAAGATTCCATCCTTAGCTCTACCTCTTCCCCAATTCTACCGCTATCGCTGGATTACATACATGCTAACTGATCCAGAGTCTGAATTTCCTCAGAATACCTTAGATCCATATATTCAACTAAGAAACCTTTGAAAATATAACCCCAAATGTACAGCTGGGGGACAGCAGCTCTGGTAGAAAAGCATCTTCACTAGCATACACAAAGTCCTGGATTCACTCTCCAGCACTGAGGTGGGGGGCATCAAAATATCTCTTAAACACCACAACTCCCCCCCGAACCACCACCACAGACACCAGTTTTTTTAATTTTTTATTATTTCCACATCACCACCATTCTCCTATTTATCTAAGCCATATCTTAAAACTAACCATTTTCACTAAATCCAGTTAACCTCCACCTAATTATTTCTCAAATCTCATTCTTGTCTCCAATACTGATACCAATTTTCACATGTAACTTTTCTCATCTGGTTACTGTAGTAACCTAACCAGTTTTCCTGTTTCATTTTCTCCCTCAATTTCATCTCCTACCTTACTCTGTAAATCTTTGCAAGCATATATTGATAGCACTTCCCTATTAAAATTTACTAACGATTTCCCATTATATTTAGAAAATCACTGGTTTTTAGCATATCCATGAAGCTCTTCTGTACTCCTGGTTACCTTTCAGCCTTGATTCTTATTCTCTCTTCCTCTTGTCTTATCTAACCACCCTTAACAATCAGAATGTCCTCTTGTCCCACCAAGCTATCTACAGCTCCCTGAATGTGGCACAGTCTTAGATTCCTCTGTACATTTACATAGCCTAATATTTCTTTTGATTAAAAATGCCTGTACTAAGTTAACTATTAATCTCCTTTCAAGATTCCCCTTAAGCATAGCCTTAAAATGTTTGTTGAAATCATCTGAAGTCTGTCAGGTAATACCACAAACAGTGCTCCTTTCAAATGCACACCTACTCTACCACTAATTTAATTACTGCAACTTTACTCATCTCCCTACTAGACTAAACTCATCAATTAGTCCTGTTAAGACCTGAGTGTTCAGTATCTGGTGGATGCTCAATAAATGCTGAAAACTATCTTGAAATACAGTTGTGGAAAATTATTATGGCTACATGTTTAAACTATGAATGCTACAAAAAAAAAAACCACAATTTTTTACTTGACTTAATTTATAGGCTAACAGAAATTCCTAAGACTTTACAAAACATTCCAAAATATCCTAAGCATTCACTTAATTCCCAACAGTTAAGCATATTTGTTAATATATATAATATATACTAGAAACAATGCTTTTCATACTTTGTTTTAAAATCAGATACAATTTTAACTTTATCAACCACAGCATTAGACAAAAGCACAAACTTCTTCCCCAATGGTCACAGTAACAAAGGAGCATGGTATATGATATAAAAACTGCTCAGATGGCCTAGGTTTCCATCTTGAGTCTTCTATTTACTAACTGAACAATGAATGAACATAAACAAGCCTCAGTCTCTTTAATGGCTAACACAGACAGAATGCTTACCTACCTCCTGGTTGTTTCAAATACTCAGATAGGAATGTAGAAGCAGTCCTACAAACCATAAACAAATTTCAACTACCGTGTTAACTTCCATCCCAATATCCATCATAGATTTTACAACTGCAGATGTCATGTTTCATGGGCTTCAGTTCCAGAACCGTAAGAGCATAAGACCTATCCAACAGTCCTCAATCTTCTTACACAGTAAATAATTTATATAAATCAATAATAAGCTAATTATTTCTCAAATCTCATTCTTATCTCCAATACTGATACTGTTCTTTAATAATGTAAGCACTTTATAAATCTCAAAGTAAATCTCGGTAAGTTGTTGGTACAGTCATTTAAATTTCAGCTCCATTTTTAAAAAAATTGGAGGACAAAAATCAGCAGGGAATAACATTTTGAAATGTCCTATTTAATCTAAGTACTGTCTTTTTACATACAAATTTGATCTACTACAGACTAACAAAGTTAAAAAAAAAAATTACCTTTACAAAACCATGTTTCCCCCCAAAATTTCTGACTTATTTCTAGATATGCTTGCTAGTCTGTCAGAGTAGAAAACTGGTTGCCTTTCTCTAATCTGAAAAAGTGATGGAACATGTGAACTCCACTCTCAGCACAATACTTTCCTTGCTAACTGTGGATTTACAGGAATTACCAACTAGATTAGAGCTGTTTCTAATCTCTTCGGCAATATTTATAAAAACAGGATTCCTTAACCTTTAAAGGGGAAAATTGCTTAAAAAAAAAAAAAAAAAAAAAAAAAAGAAAGGATAATCTACTACAAAAGTCAGCACTTCAGTACCTGATTGTGGAAACAAGGCCAAAATCCAAGACGAAGCCCTTTATTGCACATCGAGTTCCAACATCTTGGGCAGACCCATCTTGCGACCTCTCCAGATTAGCTCCTCCTGCTCTCTCTACTGCAGAGAGAACTTCAATTAGAGAAATTCTGAAGTCCATAAATCTAAATTGGATACTCCCCTCATTGGAGGTAAGGATGGTAAGACTCACTAAAAAATTCAAGTTAGAGGAGGGTTCAGATAAGTCTAAGTGGCTTGAATCCACTAAAATGTAAGCAGCTGAGAGTCATATTGTGTTAGTCTTTATTTACCTTAAAAAATTTCTAAGGGAAAAGAATGGTAGCAAATTACTACATAACCTGAAAAAAGCAGGCTATATAAATTTTTAAAAAGTGAAATAGTCTCCACTAAACTTGAATTTATAATATCTACAGTTTAAACTTATTGCTGACCATTTATATTCATAATCTTTGAGAAAAACAAGCAAAAAATTAAAACACAAAAAAAACCACCCTAGGATATATTATTAACTTCTTTTTAATGTTCTAAAATAACTTCATTGAAAAAAGCATTTGGCTAAAACCTGGTTAGGAAGGCAACGTTTCCCTGCTGACTTAAGCCTAACTGCCCAAGCAAGGCTTCTGAAAATGTCTTTACCTACAACAGTGCACAAGCAAAAGGAGCAGAGGCTATGGCGGTCTCTCCAGTGACATTCCCAAGTCACATAAATGGGGTACATTTCTGGGACAGACTGCCAACAAGTTACTGAAGGAAGATAAACAAAACCAGCAAAAATCTGGCAAATAAATAAGCCAACATCCCTATGTGTTCTATTCTGACATAAGGTCTTAGCAAAAATTACCCTGAGGCTATAAGACATAGTCATCTCCTCCATACAACATTCATTACTTGAATGTGAAGACTGGTTAGCTTTTCAAGCTGGTTTTCCATCAAGATTTATAATGATGTATAACATTTACAAAACATTTCTTCAAATAAGTAACAAGTTCCAAACCAAAGATCTCAGCAATTAGATGTACAATTTGAAGAATACACTATATGAAGTACCTTTATCACCATGAATTTTTATCAGCATGTGCCAGTGTGTGTTACACAACATAATGAAAATGAACACTGCTGAGACACTTCATTTACTAAACAACTTAATAATTTTACCTTACCTGAGTGTGAAAATTTGAAATGGTGGTTGTTTCAATATCTTTCTTGCCCAAAATTTCCATTTTCACTGGAGTGTTGGGAAAATTAAAAGCAAAGTAGTCCAAGAAGTCTGGGAGATAAGCAGCCGCTCCGTGCACTATCGCTAAAGCATAGTAAGCAGCATTTTTCTCATTTTCACTGAATGTCAAAGCAAGAAACTCCTCAGAAAATCTCTCCATCTCCATTGGAGACAAAAATGAGAGTTCATCCATGTAAGCATGAAGGACAAGAGCACCTCCATTGGACTGGTGTTCCTCATGAATAAAGTTGCTAAATTTAGTACCTGTTTTTAAGAAATTTCTACGAACTGAATGTTCCTGGTGAGTCGTAAAAGGTGTTTGTACTCCCTGGGGCACCCGATATTCTTGCATGCCCAAATTTAATCGGCACAGCTGTTCATCTTTCAGGTACCTGAAGGACTCCTTATTAACTCCTGAAGTGCTATTTATTTGTCCTTGGGTAAGAATATCTTTACTGATGCGTGTCAGGCCAGCACAGACGGTTTGTACTTCCTTATTATACATTTTAAGGCGTCTTCCTCGCATGTCTTCTCGATGTTTCTTTTTCTTTTTCTTCTTTATTTTCTTCAAGACAAAATCATCAGCTCTCTGGGTTTTACCATTTTCATCTGCTGTTTCTGGCCACAATAATTAAAAATAAGTTAGTTACTAGGACCAGCCTCAATATACAAGTGTCTTAAAGTATCTGATATAAAGTTAATCTCTTAATTTCTAAAATTAAATAATCTCTTAATTTCTGAGACTGTCATTATATTTTTATCATTAGAAATAAATGAGACAAAAAATCTTAAAATACAGTAATATTATAGGTCTAAGATTATATTTTTTAAAACTTGGGGGGGGCTGGAGAGATGGCAGTAATTAAGAGCACTGGGTTCAGTTCTCAGGACCCACATGGCAGTTCACAACTGTCTATAACTCCAGTTCCAGGGGATCTGATGCTTTCTTGGGCCTCTATGGGTACATTTACACACATGCAGGCAAAACACTCATCCACATAAAATAATTTTTTCAATATTTTATTTATTATTTTTATTTTATGTGCGTGAGTATATCGCCTGCATGTATGTGAGTGCACCTGTGTCGTGCAGTGCCACAGAGGTCAGAAGAGGGCTTCGGATTCCCCTGGAACTGGAGTTAAGGACAGTTCGTAGCTGCCATGTGGGTGCTGGGAATCGAACCCAGGTCCTCTGCAAGGGCAGTCAGTGCTCTTAACCACTGAGCCATCTCTCCAGCCCTATAAAATAACTTTTTTAAAGAAAAACCTGAGCAACTGGGACTTAGTTCAGTGAAAGAAAACACTTATTTAGTATGCATAGGCCATGGGTTCAATCCCCAGCATCACACATCACAGACAGACAGACACACACACACACACTATAATAATTTAATATGACTTGCAATCCAAAATAAAATATCTAAATAATATGTGCCACACTATATGAAGTATTTGCTTAGTTACCCTTATAAAGACTAAACTGAAATGTTATGTTTCACATTTCTGCTGTCAGTCTATTCATTACTATGGTACATACATACAGTTGAGCCAAACAAAGGCAAATTAAGTCATAAAATACCATTTTTGCCTACCAAATGGGCATAGGTTTTGGTAGCTTTCTACAGAGGGTGCGGTGGAGGCGGGGCTCAACTACTGGAAATTTAAAGTGATGAGGACATAGTCTTCACTCATTCTTGTCCAGTCAGCTCATCTTGCCATTCACCTTGGCTTGTCCTATCCACTATTCTCCACCACAAGTGTTCTTGTTATTCCCAATCTTTTTCTCCTTTCATGTCCCTCTACAGTTTGGGCATCTCTTTTTCCCACTGTATCTCTTTAAAGTTATCACTTTTCAAAGATGGGCTCTAAAATATCCTTTTGAGCCGGACACAATAATCACAACATTTGAGAGGCTGAAGAAAGATTATGAATCGGGGGATAGTCCGAATTTATATAGAGAGACTGTCTAAAAAAATAAACTTAGGGGCTGGAGAGATGGCTCAGCAGGTAAGACCACTGACTGCTCTTGCAGAGGACCCGGGATCGATTCCCAGCACCCACATTGCGGCTACGAACCGTCCTTAACTCCAGTTCCAGGGGAATCTGGAGCCCTCTTCTGACCTCTGTGGCATTGCATGACACGGGTACATTCATTTACATGCAGGCAATACACTCATACACATAAAATTTTTAAAATTAAAAAAAAAAATGAACTGAAACCTTACTCTTAGGCATATAGGAAAAAGACTCTATCCCCTACTACAGAAATACCTACTCATCCATGCTCACTGCGGCCCTTTTATAATAGCCAGAAACTGTAAACAACCTAGATGTCCACTGACTGATGAATGGATAATGAAGGTGTGATACATGTACAGAATGGAATATTATTCAGTTCTTAAGAAAAAACAAAATTATGAAATTTTCAAGTAAATGGATGGACCTGGAAACAATCACCTTGAGTAAGGTAACCCAGACTACTGAGGACAAACATCACATGTTCTTTCTCATAGCTGGATGCTAGTTTTGAAATCTTAGATATGCATATTTCAATTTGAAATTTCAGAGGTCAAAAAACTAAGAAAAGGGCATGGGTAGGTGTGGGGAGGCTTCCTGGGAGGGGTGGTAGAATGCAGTGATATGAAAGGGGAAAGGAAAACATTAGAGTAGGAAGGGTTAAATAGGGTAGGGAGGGCAGGGCAGAGGAAGGAGAATGAGGAGGTTAGACAACACTAAAAGCCTTTAGAAAAAGCCACATGGAAACCTGCCACTATAGAAACATCTTAAAGCATATCATAAAAGAGATTAAAGTATATCATAAAAAGAGATTAAAAGGAGAATTCTCTAACAAAGGACACTGCTGCCCTTTTTTAGACATCATACAGTAATGGAAAAAACAGAAAACAAAAAAACCCCAAAAACCTCAATGCCAGGAATGGACTCCCTCTCTAGAAGCTGTTGAACAGTGGTCCCAGAGACCCTCAAACAGTACTGCACTGCCACTGCTCTTGGTTACTCAACAGAACTGGATGGTTAAGACCCTATTGCTGAAGACACTACATACATGAGCTGTAAAACAAACAAGGAAAAATCAAGCTGGTGCTGACTTCAGAACCTCATCTCTACTGGAAGATGTTATACATGCCACTGGAAGAAAAATTAATCATCACCCTTACCCAGCTGTGAATCCTGTGAACTACAATAGCAAGATAAGCCCACAGGTCCAATATTATGGGGAGTAATCAACCACTATTTAATTGGATTTAAGGTCTGCTTCCTAGGATAGAAGCTATACTTGACATTGATATCAGGCTTAGGAATCTGAGGCTAGACAGGTCATAGGACATAGGGAAGAACCTAATACTAGTTTTCTACTAAACAGATACTGTATTAAACTAACTCTTAATGACATGTTATACCCATAGATTAATGCATCTCTCAACTCCTACCAGAGAAGTTTCCTATGCAATAGACAGTGAATAACAGAGAACCCACAACTGGCCAATGTGCAGGGAACAAGAGACTGCAGACTTCTTATCCCTGAACAGGACATCTATATCACTGCAGAACACAGGGCAGAAAGATTATAAAAGCCAGAGGGCTGTGGATGACCAAAAGGAAACAAGAGTTTTCCAGAAAGCTGGTCAGTTATTTATATGAACTCACAGTAGCAGTGACAGCATACACCAAGTCCCATCCAAGCTCAAACCAGAAAAAAATCCCAGCATAGACATGAGGAAGAGGGTAAGAAGCTTCAACCCCACCTAAGGAAATTGTGGCAAGAGATGGCTGCTGAGAGGGGCAGAGATAGTTTCTTTCAAGTATGGAACTCTTGATAGGTTAACCAAGCTCCAGTGGATGGACCCACACTGAAGGCTATTTGGGGGACACAAATTAGACTCTGTAGGCCTTATTATATACACAATTACAGTATATTAAATTGGGCTGGGGGCAATGAGGGGAGGTGTGGATAGGGGAGGGGTTCTAAATACCATCAAATTATATTGTATAAAATTGTAAAAATTCAATTTTAAAAGGTATTTTTTAAAGTTTTTCTTCTCAGCCAGGCATGGTGGTGCACATCTTTAATCCCAGCACTTGGGAGGCAGAGACAGGTGGATCTCTGTGAGTTCAAGGCCAGCCTGGTCTACATAGTGAGTGCAGGCCAGCTGAAGGTACAGGGAGACCCTGTTTCAAAAAGACCAAAAAAATAAAATAAAATAAAATAAAAAGTTTTTCTTCTCAAGGGAAAAAGGAAATGAAAACCAACACAAAAAGCAAGACATCAAAAGGCAAACATAAAAGAAGAAAAAATGATGACCAACATTTAATGTGGTGTCCTCAATGCCAGGTATTACAGGGAACATGTTCCACAGAGTACTTCATTCTTACAACCTATGAAATTGTTATTATCCTCACTATTTCATGGAGGAACAAAATGAAGTACAGAGAAGCAATACAGGTAGGAGATTACGCAGATAAATGGTAACTACAAAGTCCACAGACATCACAACCCTGAGCCCCTATTAAAATTATTAGTAAAATTTTCATAAAAGGCAACTTAGTGATATGTATTACAAGTTTTGATAGTATTTATAATCAGGAAATACACTTCCAAGTTGAAGTCATCTAAGAAAATAAAGAGGGGCTGGAGAACTGGCGCAGTTATTAAAGCCTCAGACTCACAACCAAAGACAAGAAAATGAAGAGGTACAAAGATATTCACAATGGTATTTTGTGTGTGTGTCTATGTGTGTGTGTGTGTGTGTGTGTGTCTCTGTGTGTGTGTGTGTCTGTGTGTGTGTGTCTATGTTTCTCCCAACCCCTTTGGTTGTTTGAGAGAAGGTTTCCCTGTAGACCAAGCTAGCCTAAAACTTGCTATGTAGACCAGACTGCGTTCAATCTCAGAGACTGGCCTGCCTCTGCCTCCCAAGTACTGGGATTAAAGGTATGTGCCACCATGCCCACCTCACTAGACAGTGTTTTTTATAACAAAAGTTGGAATTCTCTAAATGCCTAAAAGGAGACTAATTAAACTGACAGTCATATACTATGTATTACCCAATTACTATAAATTAAATTGTGATTAAAAGAATTGGCATACAAATAACAAGGTTACTCTCCTAGAAATCCTGCACAAGGTTACTCTCCTAGAAATCCTGCACTGCCAAGTTCTCCATCTGAGTATGCAGCAATAGCAATCTCTTCTAGACTATAAGCAATCCAAGGTCACGGATGTGTCTTACCTTTTTTACCAGAGCACTTAGATGTATTCTGATTCCATTTTTGTATTAAACACTCATTCATCTGAACATGTATTAAGTACATATTGTGTAGTAAGTATGGACATTAGAGATATGATGCCGACTAAAGAAGACACCACCCCTACTTTCTTGTCTTCTAATTCCTTAAGAGCAAGAAAATGCCAGGTAGGAAGTAGTTAGTGAAAAGCTCTTTGAGAGGTGAAATTTAGAATTGAGTCCTAAATAGTAAAACAGTCAGGCATATGAAGATCTAGGGGCAAATATTCTAAAGAGAAACAAGGAACATAAAGATTGGGAAAGTCTGATCTATGTATGTTGCATATATTAAATACAGAAAAATATCTGAGAGATGTAT